AAGAATCGACGACATAGAAGATCATCCTCATGGATATTGATTATCTATATTCTTGAATAATTCTGATAAGCCAAGCGGATTTTTAACCATCCTTACACTGTTCTTCATTAGGGTTAGAATTTTCAGTATAAACCGACATCAACGATGATTCGAAAATGTTCTTTATTTATATATGGATGAATAAATTTTGGTCGGAAATTCAAGAAGTCGACTGTTTAGTTCATCCATCAAGTATAGTGTCATTAAGTCAAGGTTTGTTTCCTGATGAAGTGTTTATCGTTAGGATTTAAAGATGGTATTATTTCGCATGTTTCTTATCTACTATCGACAGGGACATAACTAAGCACTTAGTATACTAAACATTATGATTTTTACTTTATGGTTGCAATGGGTAATCGTTCATTATCACTTACAACGTTTTGAGTAATATGAAAAGTTATTTCTTACTACTTGTTATTCATGTAGTTTGCATTTCACCTAGAAGCTTGAAGGTTGCCTCGTGAATTATGACTGGTTTGCAACTATTCTATACTTTTACGGTTTTTTTTGTCACGATCATCTTAGTTGTGTTGAATCCTCCCACTAGTGTTTAGAATTACAATTGATCAGTCTCTTTTGACACATGTGGATCGTACATGGATTGCTTTGATATTGTAATTAAATCACAAGCATTTGATAAGCAGAGTTGAGTGTTAGCTAGTGGTAGATCGATAGTGGCTATCTGTACCCTGTAGTTAAGTAAATGATGCATTAGCGTTTAAAGTGCAAGGTATTGGGGTTTAAATTTCAAAAGGAACAGAAACTCTAGGATCCAATTACATCCATCTGACGAGTTCAAATTGGACTAAATGTGTATCGTGAATATCACTGTTAGCCACTATCCAATTATGCCTATCACACATTATCTCATTGTTATTTTAATCCCATTTTCCCTAATTCTGATAACCAACACTTACATGATTCCATTGTCTTACTGTTAAGTAACATTAGTCAATTCTTCCTTCTGATATTTTTTTTCTAAATCCAGTGTTATTTTCACACTTGGTGTTATTTTTTTACTTCTACCTTCCCATTGTTATTTGGGACTGCAATTGATTGAACATCAACATTGAAATGCAGGTGCATCCAGTTGACGAGTATCGAATAGGACGAAACGCGCGTCAAACTGGATTCCACTACTAGCCACTATCCATCTTTGCTTATAAATCAGTGTTATTTTGTTTTGCTTTATTATCAGTAAGAGGGGATTTTAACGAAATTAGAATTTATGTATGAATCAATCAGATTTAAGATAACATGTCTTGGATTTTGTTGCGAAATTCATTCACTCATTTGGATGAATACAATTTCGGCAATATAACTGATGTCGGTTCGGGATGAAAATCCTAATTTTATTTCCCAACCGTAAACTGCAAATCATAATTCCCAATCCTCACATTGGTTTATTACTCTCATCTAGTTCTAGTTAGTAGATGGATATGCTGGAGGTCAGTTTAGAGTTACTCAAAGGTCATCCATAAATTATAGACTCACCGGAATTTTTCTTATAGATGCGCGCTGCTGAGGAGTTCTACAACAGGACGAAATGGCCGTCCAGTGCTTCCAGGTTTTCTATGGTGGTCTAGCTTTAATTGATTCATGTTTTCAACTATAAAATTGCTAAAATCTCCACAAACCCCCTTCTAATATACATAATAATCAAACAATTATTGAATATTCAGAAGTTCTTATTCCAGTAATTCAATGAATGATTAATACTTGTAAACTCTTTCTCAACTCACATGTTTTGAGAATTTTTTTTTTGATGGAGTTTTGTTCTTTGAGCTGGATGGTTTGGTCGTGGAGCTTTCATCGTCCTTCTGAACGATATCATCAGCACAAACTTCGGGTAGAAGTGAAGTGTTTGAATTTCTCCACGACCAAACCATCCAGCTCAGAGAACAAAACTCCATCAAAATCACTCACATGAGCTACAAATGTTCTCCACCATCTGAGAATTACTCCTAAACATCAAATCATTTGTGTTGTCAATTCATTTAACTAGGTGTATGATAAAATACATCTAACATTAAAAATCAAAATTATCTGAACATTTTTCGACATGTTGAAGAAGATTTGTAGCTACGGATGATAATGATTGTGTGGAAATTGTGTTCACTACAGTGCACTGTAAAGGTTTAATCATATAGTTTTCATTGTCTTTCTGGAAAACATCATTATCAGTCCAGAAGTCAAATAAGAATAAGCTATGAAGATTTCAGAAGGGTTTTTGTGGAGGTTTCAGTATTTTTATAGTTGAAATCATGAGTCAATTGAAGCCATACCACCATGGAAAACCTGAAAACACTGGACGACCGTTTCGTTCTATTATGGGACTCCTCAGTGGCAGTGCGCATCGACGATCCCGTCTCGCTAGCAAGATTCAAACCGAGGACCTATCAGTCTCTCGCCAGAACACTTGACCGACGAAACAGCCGTCCAGTGTTTCCAGGTTTTCCATGGTGGTCTAGCTTCGATTGACTCATGATTTCAACTATGAATAAACTATGACGATTTCTTCATAGGAGGCTAGTGATTTCAACTCATCAACCTTGAATATGATTGGTTGTTGTTCACATTTATTCAATTGTTCGCTAAAGATTTATTATGCTTATATCTTTTGATATGGTTTCAGATCCTATAGTTATTTAGAATTTATCTGTTTAGTTGATACACCAGATCGGTTTCAATAAACTTTATTGACTGTTAGTCAATCTGAGTATCAAGCTTTTAGGAATTCTTCAGCCTTTCTTGTATCTCCATTGTTCAAGAACTCAACATTTTCCCAGTCGTACGTACGCCAGCAGTTATTCATATATATTGATATATGTCAAGATATGCTATGATGTCTAAGTTTGATTCCTGGTACTATCAAGGGTATGCTCTACTGATGATCCCCTTTTAGTGAATAAAACTTAAGTGGGAATAATCTAATGTATTTAGACACAAATTACAGACTATCTCACTAAATTCTGATAACCATACAACAAACAGTTATTTTGCAAAATAACCATTAATTAACCCAATCTTAACTGTTCCTTCTGTACATATAATTATATGTTCTCTGATTCTATTGTTCATGCGTTTTCCTACCATTTACGCTTCATTTCAGTTCTTTCCTTATCGGTCTTCTGCCAAAATACATTCTATGTTTGACTCGCACCATATACTACTTATATGGATATAAGTAGACCACACTACACTCTTACTAAATTAAACACATGAGTATTGTCCCATAATAGGACGAAACAGCCGTCCAGTGCTCCCAGGTTTCCCATGATGGTCTAGCTTCAATTGACTCACGCTTTCAAAAATTGTATTTATTTTCTATTTCCCTTAAATAGTTACCAACAATATCTTTCTTGATCAATCCATGACAGCAAGAATATTGGATTTAAAAATTCTTTAGTACTACACATACACATACACACACACATCAAATCTATGTACTTATGAAACTGTAAACCATGAAAACAAAACGACCACATTATCTATGACATGTATCTATTAAGATACAAATTGATTTACTATAACTCAGCTTGTATCCACCTTCTAAGGATTTTTAATTTAAAGTAACAGTTTACAAAAACTCTTTACTTCCTACCTACCATACTTATCTTACAATGAACATTAAGTTAAAAGAAAAAACCCCGACTATCAAGTAAACACAGAAAACAGTTTGCTTTGAACTTGAAAAAAAACATTTTTTTTCTTTGAATGTTTCTCTCTCTTGAAGAAAGTGTACTAAACTAGGTACTCACTTAATCACTAGTTATCGGGATAGTACTCACTTCATATTGCTTATTTAACAGTACACATATTTATTATGTAAGTGAATCATGTCAAATGCGTGTGTGAGTGTCTATGTATCTATGGTAGTCAGTAGTTGTAAGAATAATATTAGTAGATGATAAGATGAGAAGTAAGATCAAAATATGACAAAGAGAAAAGAGAGAATCAAGGGTATTATTCATTTCTATATTGTATGTCATAAACAGTAGTTTGTAAAAGAGATACACGGAATCATGCACAGGTTTAAAGACTGTTTTAGTGATTCAGAATGAAGAACATACATCTTTTTCATACGTTCTATATGTATATATGTAGCTCTTTAGTCTATCGGTTAAGTGCTCTGGCTCGAGTCTGGTAGTTCCTGGGTCCGAATCTCGCGAGTGCGGGATCGTGTATGCGCGCTGCTGAGGAGTCCCATAACAGGACGAAACGGTTGTCCATATGTATATGTATACAAATACATTTGGTTTATGACAATTAGTATGGTGGAAAGAACATCTGGTATTACAGTCTTTTCTGAATTCACTTGAACTACTTATAAGTAGACTAGCTTGATTTGACAAAAGATTTTGGAAAACTGTGTATGTATTTCAGAGTTTAAAATCACTGATTTTAACTTAGTTATGAAGAAAAACCATTAAAAATTTAGAGCTACTGAACAGATATCGAGTTCAAGTATGGGACACTTTAACAGTACACATATACGATCACATCAGGGGTCAAACTGAGGAAGTTCAGGTATTATGGAGAGTGCTTAATCCCTAGACTACAGAGTTGACAACCAATGATTTACATTTCTAACTTAAATTGATTCACGATATTGTACAACAATCTCCTAATGCCATTGGTGAGTAATTATTTCAAATTTAACACAGATGTACTCCTCTAGTTAGGGTTTTCTCATTGCAACTCAGGGCATCACTTCTGGAAATCGATTACCGGTGAGTATATGTTTATTATTATTGCAGCAAGTTTGTGGAGATTGTTAACACATTAAAAACCTGTACATAATTTTAACAAATATGCTGAAGAGTCCCATAATTAGACGAAACGGCCTTCCAGTGCTTTCAGGTTTTCCATGGTGGTCTATCTTCAATTGACTCATGATTTCAACTATGAAAAAATTATGAATGGTTTATCAGAATCTCTCTTTTTATTTTTAATTGAAGTTATATACAGATTGGGCGAATCATTATTTGGAAAAAGCAAATTATTCAAATTTAATTAAAAATATACAGAAGGATTTATCCAATGGACTGTTGTTAGCTGATATTATACATGCAGTAGGTAAGTTACAAATTGTGTATTGCTTATTTCTGTAAGCATCCTTATTTTGCATTCATTTTGCTACCTTATGTATGTTTATGTGAAGGGTTGCATAGTGGCTAGTGGTGGAATAGACAACTGGCGCTTATTGATGTTAGTAACCAGGTGGCTGAATGTAGAAGCAGGGATTGGCAAAGCAAGGACAGCATTCTTACAGTTGAACAACATGTGAAACTCAAAACAACTTTCAACCAATATCAAAGTAACAATCTTCAATACGAACGTCAAGACAGTTCTACTGTACGGAGGATCTGAAACGTGGAGAACTACTACAACCATCATCAATAAGGTACGAATATTTATGAACAATTGTCTACACAAGATATTCAATGTCCGTTGGTCGATTACCATCAGCAACAACCTACTGTGAGAGAGAAAAAACCAGGTTCTAGCTACGGATAAAATTATGAAAATACGTTGGACGTAGATGGGACATAAATTGAGGCAGGCTCCAACCTGGAAGGCCAAAGAACGCACTGCGTTGGGACTTAGGAGCAAACAAGAAAAGGGTGAATGTTAACTGGAAAGAACTGGAAAGGATTGCCCGACACGGGGTTGGATGGTGAGTGCTGGTTGGCAGCCTACGTTACTTCACGAGTAGCAACTGTCATAAGTTTATATGCATGGATTGATAGATAGATAACTTTTATGGTGGGGGTTACTTTGCAGACTAAATACAAATGATGAACAATTGAATATGTTTTTTGTCATCCAATTTCGAAATTTCACTACGATCCCCATTTACGATACCTCAGAGGATTACATTTACTAAAGCTAATGATTCTTAAAGATTGATACTGTCATATTTAATATTCTGTCTAACCATCATTCATCTGAATTGGTGTATTCGTGTACAGTTTGAAAAGTGCCTACTTTTATTTTCAGCTAATTGTCCTTATAAATCATACGACCTGGATTTTTTTATGAATTCAACGTTACTACTAATATTTAGTTAGTATGATGATGATAATAGAAAATAATTGTCATCGTAAAGCAGGAAGTGCGCACCCACGACCCCGCCTCGAGAGATTCGAACGCAGGACCTACCAGTCTCACGTGCGAGCTCCTAACCTCTGAAACCACTGAGTCGGCATCTATCGACGTAAGTGTCTAACTTCAACCAATCCACGAAATTGAGCAACCCCTTACCATTAACTTCAGTGAGTTGATATCTCATAACAGACCTGGTTGAACTTCACGGCCGTCCAGTGATTCCATGTTTTCTATAGTGGTATAGCTTCAATCGACTCATGATTTGAACTATAAAATTACTAAAATCTGAACAAAAACCCTTTCTGATAGTAAAGCAGAAAGTCCACTAATGATAGTGAAATAATAAAGATTGATCTGCAACATTTCATGTAAGTTCGTAAATGATCAATTTAGATTCAAACCGATGATTTTTATGTATCCTAGTATATTTCTCTACTACTAATCATTATGACTGAACGGTCCAGATTTAACTCAACCAACTCATGAGACACTTACACACTTACATATATATGACTTCCTCTAGCTTTTAAACTTTCAATGATCTAAATAAACCTGTTATTCTGATGAGGATATAATAAAAAGCAATACCTAGGCAACTCGTATTGAGTTCGAGTCCCAGAGTGAACATCAACTCTGGGATGCGGGTACATTCAGCTGACGAGTTCAAAACGGGATGACACTCGAGTCCTGGATTTCACTTTTAGCCACCAACCATCTTTACTTATAATAATTTATACTAGATTTCATTCTCATTGTAAATATCACTATAGATATGAATAAATTCAATTGAAGAGTCTTGAACAAGATCATATGTAAGTCTTCAGTATCACTGCTAGTCACAATCCATATATATCTTCTCCTATAACTATCATAATAATTCATTTGAATCTGTAATACGTTCATTTCGTTGACTTCAGCCATCTTTCCCCCTTCTTTTCTGCTTTTTTTTACACTTCTATCTAGCTAATATCAAAGTTCAACGTCTATGCCAAAATCCAAAAACATCTGCACAATCTGTAAGTAATCATCTATCATTATTTGAATATGATCAATTATACCGATTGCTTATGATAACTTACATAATCAAGATGACTATTTTTGGGTTCTTATTGTACCGTTAAAGAAGAATGTAATGCAATGCTTCGCTAATCTTTCACCTCGATAACCGTTAAAATACATATCTCAACGGTGCATGAAATCAGAAGGTAAAAAGAAGCTGCAACTATAGTTTATTATCAAATAACACAGGCCACAAAGCTATAAGCATATGAGTAAGTATCAGCGAGAAAAGCGAAAATAACGCACATTGGAAATGGTGGGTAAGCCAACTCTGTTGCATGTTCGCACGTCGGGGTCATCATCTAGATGAGAAATCCTAAAGAGAATGAAACACACTCTTTAAACTTCACTAGTAGTTACAATCCACCTGACTTCAAATCAAACACTTCACTGGAAAGACAGAGCAAAATAAACACTGTACTCATTACTGAAGATGATGATGACGTTTGAATCATATATATTTAAGAGTACTATATAAAGCTTTTGTCAAGAAAGTATTATTCTGGATGAAAGCTGAATGTTACCATACACTTTGATATAGCTACTAAACGAAGAGTATTTCAGTGAGGAGATCGAATGAGAAATAGTGACAAAGAGATCAAACAGATAGATTGTATACAACAATCATATATTCAGAACAGAATCCCTTCAGTTAATCGATAAGAGATATATATTTTTTAAGGATCTAATCAACCAAGTTTAATACATCTTTAAGGGATTCACTATCATATTTCACAAATATCGATCGTATTTCTATTGTATCATTTCAGCTTCACAATGTATTGGCTTGCTTTCAAGTACTTCAGTTGCTTGGTATTGAAACAAATGGATTTACTGCTCAAGGTAAGACTATTAATAATAATAACCAACCTTGTACTGTTTGTTTGAATCTTCTCATTGATGCTTAGGACTGCAACTGGTCAGTCTCTAATTGGCATATGTGCATCCTGTGCGTATTTCCTCGATATAGCCTTAATTGATAAGCATTATAAGCAATGATGGATAGATGCTAGCAGTGGAATCCAGGACGCGCGTTTCATCCTATTTAGGATTCGTCAGCTGGATAACGCAATGGCGTTTGAAGCGAAAGGTACTGGGTTTGAGTCCCAAAGTGAACATCAACAAGTCTGAGATGCAGGTACATCCAGCTGACGAGTCCCAAATAGGATGAAAGGTGCGTCAAACTGGATTTCACTGCTAGCCACTATCTATCTTTGCGTACAATAATAATAATCACTATATTATATTATTATAATGTATTCACTTTTATGTTAATTAAGTATTCCTATGTAGTATTGTTTTAAGAGAAGTAGTCATTTGGTTTCCAGTGAATACTAGGTAGTTCAACTCGAAGGATGCATCAGTTCTTTCAAGATTTTAGATACATCTTATTCATGAGTATTAACTGTCAGAGAATCTAGATAAGTCATGATTTTGCTGTTGGCTACTTCAAACGAACTAATGTCTATCTGGATAGAAAGCAATTCATTATATACAAATATATTTTTTCATATTTCAATTTTTTTTACCAACCATTATATATACTACTGATAATATACAATTTAAATAGGAAAAATAATTAGGATTTGTTTGTAGAGTTTTTTAATAATTTTTATGTACAGTTGGAATCATGAGTCGATTGAAGCTAGACCACCATGAAAAATCTGAAAGCACTGGGTTCGAATATTGCGAGGCGATATCGTAAATGCGCACTGACACTGAGAAGTTCCACAATAGGTTGAAACGTCCTAAAATAAAAGAACGAGTATACAAATTTTCGTTGTATAGGTTACAAAGGCCCAATCAGACATCGGTCAAGCGATAAGCACACGTTATTTGTCAATATTTGGCTTCGTTTACAAAGGAACGAGACAAACACTATTTAAAGCAATTAGTCATTTTTATAAATTTCGATAGAGTAATGAGAAGACGTAGTTGATCTGATAAATGTAAAGTATTTGTACTATACATTTCAAACAATCTGATCATATATATACTTGTCAGGATATTTTATATGAAAATGATCATGGATGCGCAGTGCTGAAGACTTCCACAATAGAACGAAACGGCAGTACAGTGCTTCCAGGTTTTCCATGATGGTCTACCTTCAGTTGACTCATCATCTCAACCATATAAAATTACTAAAATCTTCACAAAACCTACTTCTGATAATAATCATATGCACACCTAGTGACTGGCTACCTGGAGTTCTAGTGAGAAAAAGTAACTAGTGGAGTTCAACCAGGTCTGTTGGAAGATAGTAACTCACTGAAGACGTTGGTGAAATGGTAGCTCAACTTCGTGAAGTCAGACATTAACACCGTTGTGTACTGGCCGGCTCAGTGCTGTGACACAAAACTGGTAGGTCCTGGGTTCAAATCTCACGAGGTGGGATCGTGGATTCGCACTGCCACCGAGCAGTCCCACAATAAAACTAAACGGCCGTCCAGTGCTTACAGGTTTTTCATGGTAATCGAGCATCAATTGAATCATGATTTCAACTATATAGAAAAAATAATTATTTATTAAAATTCTCTTTTGCTTCCTCTCTATTCCTCCCTTTTTATACATTCTAGATATTGTTGATAGTAAACTAAAGTATATACTTGGTCTATTTTTCAATTTATCTAAATTTAAACAACAAACAAGACAATTAAAACAATCACAAGTATATCCAACTTCATCTACTTCATCATTCTTCTCAACATCAACTGAAGTGGCCTATACATCTTCAATGATTCAATTACAAAAAAATCATATACCTAATGAACCGGATATACACTACTATCATCATGATCATCCACAAGATTCATTAATAGTGAAAGAAAATCATTTACATTGTCAACATCAATCAATACCACCTAGACCACCATCACGTACTACTACTACTACTACTATCACTACTACTACTACCACTACTACTACTATCACTACTACTACTACCACTACTACTAACAATCTTAATAGTAGTTTATCAAAACAATCTAAATATCAATCTGTAAATAAACAAGAAAATATCTTAACAGGACAATTAAAAAGCCCAATTAAAACGAATAATAATGAAGTATCCAATCCATGTTATAGTAGTCCTTTAATATTGAACAAGAATATCACTAATCAACATATTCATGGAATTAATGCATCATTAAATTTTACTAAACCAAAGTGAGTAAAACTTGTTTCTTTTCCTTCATTTTTGTTTCCTTCTAAAAAAAAATTGACAATTGAACATTGATGAATTAAAACAACATTGATCATTTGAAATGATCTGGATCTCTTATTGGTTTAAATGTTTACATGATATAGATATGAATAGATATTATGGTGAGATAATAATTGATGGACGACCTTTGAATGACTCTAAACTGATCTTCAGAGTGTTTATCTACTAAATAGGACTGAATGAAGGTTATAAACCAGTGTGAGGAATTGGAATTATGATTTACAGTTAGTGATTAAGATTACGAATTAGATTCAATGTTTTCATCACGAAGTGATATCAGCTATAATTCACTTGGTATTATTGGTTTGAATCTTCGCATTAATGTTTAAGACTGCAATTGATCAATCTCTTATTGGTATGTGTACATACTGAGAAGATTTAAACCAATAATATTAAGTGAATTTAAACTTCACCCCCATTGCACAAGCAAGTGGCTATCAGGAATCAGTAGCTGAGTGGATAACGCGAAAGGTACTGGGTTGGAGTCCCAGAGTGAACATCAACTCTGAGATGCAGGTAGATCCGGTTGGCGAGTCCCAAATAGGACGAAACGTACGTCCTGGATTCCACTGCTAGCCACTATCCATCTTTGCTTATCAGCTATAATGCCTAAATTGTATTCATCCAAATGAGTGAATGGAGTTCGCGCCAAAATCCAAGACGTATTATCTTAAATCTGATTGGTTAGACCATAAATTATAGTCTCTCCGATATTATTATATTCTAAAGTATTCAGTACAACTTTGAATTCTAGTGAATGAGTTTATATTTTGATGACCAATAATGAATAGATTGAAGATTAGATCGTAGATGAAATGAACCAGATGTCTAGTACTTCCTGTTTTTCAGCAGTATTCCAGCTGCATTTTAATCTGCGACAAGACATAGTCATTACAACTTCAAAAATACATTGATTTTTATACGGTAGATATTAACGAAATATGAGGTGAATAGACATAAACAAATATGATTCGTTAGTATACGAGGTTTATTGAAATTCTTGAGTTTTATCGTTTATATCAAGAACAGATCTTAGTTAGACAACTACTGAAAACTAAGAAGTACTAAATAGTTCTTTTGTTCTAATGTCAGACTTTTCAGCAATTGCATCCATAACTTCACTGTGGATCAAACTGAGAACCTTCTAATTCTAATATATTTCTAAAGATGTATGAGTAGTATATTACAATCTAATTTCCTTACTAAACTTATCTACATTACCAGAAGGGGGTTTTGTGGAGATTTTAGTAATTTTATAAATATGAGATCACGAGTCGACTGAAGATATACAACCATGGAAAACATGGAAGCACTAGACGACCGTTCCGCACTGCTAAGGAGTCCCACAATAGGACGAAACGGCCTTAAAACAGTGTTTCCACATTTTCCATGATCGTCTAGCATCAATCGACTCATGATCTCAACTATATGTACATAACTTCATTATCAAAATTAGTTATTATTTAAGCTCTTATAGGAATAATCTCTTAATTGGTACTTTGCTTTCTCATTTATGGTTAATTGTTTTCCATTGAGTATAATTGTTAAACAGAAAAAATTTCAGGTCAAACGTGGATATTAAGTAGGAATTGTTTATATGGAGAATTGATGCCCTAACAATCTCATACATATAAGAGTATAAAATAAAGAAACAAAGCTCTTGTGTTTTTACTTAATACCCTTTTTTACATTGAATGTCTATTGTTATAATAGAATTTCTTTAGCTGACATATTGGTTTAGTAAACACTACTTATTACATTGTAAGTAATATGACTGCATGAAATAAATAAATAGATATCAAAGATAAACTGTTTCAGTTTCAGTTTGGAAAAGACAAGAGGTTTGATAGCCTGTGTTAGTCCTGACGATGATAGTCTCTTAGCTGATCCAAATTTTCTTTTGAAATAGTCGACGGATGGAGCCTCAACCACTTGCTGAGGTAGTGAATTTCACTCATTGATGATTCGATGGGAAAGTCAATAGTCAGCTGACAAGTAATTTGTTCTGGGTTTGTAAACTTTCTTGGAGTATCCTCGCAAATTTTCTGTTTTGAGAGACAAGAAAAATGAGGGCATATCAGGTGTAAATTTATCACTAAGCAATTTGAAATCTGTAATCAAGTCGCCTCTGGTTATTCGATATGACAGAGGGAATAGGTTTAACTTGGTCAGTCTGTCATCATACGGAAGCTTCTCTATTCCAGGAATCAGTTTATTTGCTGTTTTATGAACACTTTCCAAAAGCTCACTGTCTTTTTACGACACACGAACACTGTATTCAAAGTCAAAAACGTTTTAGCGTCGATATGACTAAAAACCCTGCGTATTGACCGCAAAGTTCTGAAACCTTTAGCGGCTATTGCACGGCAGTGTGCAGTAGTCTTTAAATATTATCTAATGATGACTCCTAAGTTATTGTGTTTCTGGACAATAGGTAGTTCATTGTTATTCATCGTGTATGTATCTGTACCTTAATGACCGATATATATCACAATACAGTTGGAAGTATTTTTTATCGACAACTCCCAGGTTCGGGACCATTCAGATAATTTCTCCAGATCATTTTGGAGTTCTAAGCTATCACCCTTACTTTGTATCGCTTTCCATATTCATATCTTGGCAAAATGATTATCATTTCTACAGTTTATAGCTCACTGATCTCATTTCCAACAAATATCTGTTTAATTTGAACAAGTATTTCAAAAAAGGTGACAGATAAGATTTGAAATGCGATATCCAACTGATGAGTCTCGAATAGGACGAAACGCGAGTCAAATTGAATTTCACTGCTAGCCACTATCCATCTTTACTTATAATGCTTGTGATTTAAGGCAATATTGAGAAAATCCGTACAGGATGTATATGTGATCAATTCTAGTCCTTAACATCAATGGAAACATTCAATATAAACCAATATAAAAGTGAAATAAAATGTGACATCATTTGAAAATACTTGTATCATGAATAGGCTTTCATGAATAAAATTGATCCATCTATGAGGTAGGTAACAGAACAGAATAAAGGTTGACAGAAATTTCCTGTTGTTTCCTTTGAAAACCTACTTTGTTTGATATTCGATTTCAGGAAAGAAAGTTCTTTTTGTTCTCGTTTTTGAGAGTATCTTACTAATTTAATTAGAAATGGATTGGATTAACCTATTGTGGATAGTTTTGACTAAAAGTTGATCATTCATGTTTGTCATATGGCCATACTGTGAGGATTGTTTCAATATAGTCATTATGAATAGATGGAATGTGGTTAGTATTAGAGTCTATGACTAATGTATTGTCTTATATGGGGATTCGCCAATTGAATGTACCTGCATCCCAGAGTTGATGTTTACTCTAGGACTCAAACATAGTACCATTCGCTTCAAACGTCATCACTCTATCTTCTTACCTACTGAGTCTGGATATCCACTAACTTGTGTGACAGGTATAACATTTAAGTCAATTTGAAATGGATTGGATTATCCTGTTGTTGGTATCTTACTAACTGGCTATAAATAGGCTCTGTTTACAAGAAGGTTATAAACGGATATGATATAGAGAAAATTTTGAAAAACAATGAACAGGAGCATAGTATGTCAGTTATTCAATCATAGGTAACATAGAATACTATTGATATATGCATCAGTGTATGCACCTGTGCCATTATGATAGACTCTGAATCATATCACACAAAATTTCCAACCACTGGTTACAATAATCCCATTGACCTCAACCGGGTAGTCTACAACTACCTATATTGGTCGTTCCACAAGCCAATGACTTTACCACCTTTACTCCTGATATCTGACATTTTCCCCCATTTACAAATTTAAGCAAAACGAAAACGATGAGATTCTATTTACGTGATCGATCATCTTATCAGCTGATTGCGACCTAGAAACAATAGTAGTAATGAAGGTAAGACAATACTATGCAGATTACGATAAGTGACCAATCAAAATCAAGCTAACCGATAGGTGAATTTAAACTCCTGTTGGGGATAGCTTGCTACTAAAATTCATAATTTTTATTATATTTCTTATTTAGAAAGGATTGGATGATGATTTATTGGTGGAATGAACTGTTTAGGTCAGTATGTTTGGGTTATGAATGTTAAGATAAGGAGTACTAGGGTTAGGCGTTAGGATCCAAGAATTTTATCATTATCAGAAGGGGGGTTTTGTGGAGATTTTAGTAATTATATATATATAGGGAGAGAGAGAGAGAGAGAGCGCGAAATCAGGTCTGTTGAGAGATATCAACTCGCTTAAGACATTGGTGATTGGTTTCTCAATTCCGTGGATTGGTTGAAGTTAGACATTTCCACGGTTGAACACAGGCCGGCTCAATGGTCTATCGGTTAAGTGCTCTGGCGAGAGGATAGCAGGTCCTGGGTTCGAATCTCATGAGGCGCACTGCCACTGAGCAGTCCCGCAATAGGACGAAACGGCCGTCCAGTGCTTTAAGGTTCTCCATGGTGGTCTAGCTTCAACTGACTCATGACCTCAACTATATAAGATTTTACCATTGACTTAGAATGTATTGGTTATACAGCTAAGAATTAGGGCTTGTCCTGATTAGAAAACTATAATATCTAGCATGAATTATCTATATTGAGTTCCTGTAGGCATTAGATCAATTGGCATTAGCATCAATTGAATCCCTCATATCAACAGATAGATCTAAATCACTATAAAATTAATAGTTATAATTATTTAAAACTAATCTACGTGTTTGCCTACTCCTTTATAGTCCTAATTGGATTCTATCGATCAAGTTTCATTATGGTTACTAGTTATAGTGATACAACACCACATGGATCACGATGAGATATTAAGTGGTTGAAAATTATCGATAAAAGCCCTCTTTAGACCTATATTTCCTGCTAATTAGTACTCATCAACAAGGTCTACCTTTAATCTCGAGGGAACTAGTGCTTTCTGAATAGGTTT